TTTTTCTTCCCTTGGTGTTCTGAGTGTTTGTATTTGGTTTCCTAGCTGTCTCATTCTGGCTTACTGAAGGTATGGCTGGGGCTGTTTCCCCACCTCCCAGCATGAATGCCCATACTGTCCTGTCTCCCAGCCCTGTGCTCCAACCATGGTGACTGACCTCAGAGTGCCCTGTACCCAGTTGGTACCTATTTAACACTATTTAATGAAATGCCACACATTTGAGAAGGGTAGAAAGAAAATTGAAAAAACATCTAATTTTATTTTTAATGGAACATTTGGTTTCAGTAGTAGAACTTATTTAAGGTCATATGAAATATTTGCTCCCCCAACAGAAAACATGGTCCTGAAAAACGCCGTTAGTTTACTTGGTTTATTTCACAATTTTCCCTCCCTTTGTTGACAATTGTGAATAGGGAATTGAAGTCCATCAAAGTTAACTATGAATAGAGTGCGAGGCAGACAAGTATCCATGCTTTGACCATAATCCCAAGCAACAGGAAAGACAAATCCACAGAACCATTTAGGAATAAGGGAGGTACAAAGGGATATTTTATTTATCCACAGGAAAAAAATTTTTAGAATCCTTGATTGGGTCCAGCATATATTTATGCTCCTCGGTGTGCCTGGGGGCCTTGCAGACATCTTAGGAGCCCATCACAGGCATTGCCTAAAAATGTTGCCCAAATTTAGTTGAAAGCAAATGGCCTTCAGTGGGCAAAGTAGACTGAATGTTGGGTAAAAGCACCCTTGTTTTCTTATCCCCACAGTGAGGCCAAAACAGATCCTATGAGATAAAGTAGACCTAGAAAACATATTCATAGCAAGTGTTTTCCTTCCCCAATATGTACAGTCTACACAACTAATTAAGACCGGAGTAGACGGCCAATAGGAAGATTTAGCCCCCCGCGCCACCTTGTGGTGGCACATCCAAATCTCAGGCCCGTGCAAGGACCCCAAGATTAAAAATGACTGAGCCTTCTGGAAAAGGAGTTGGCTTGTGAGCTGTTCCACCATTTGGATATAATAATCATGGGAGACATTATTTTCTTCGGGAATACAAAATAATGGAACTAACTAGCACTTGACTGGTTCTTTACGGAAAGCAAAGCACTCCCACACGAATGATCTCATTTAATCCTGGCAGCAACCCCATCAGGTACTAGGTCCTAGGATCTCAGTCCTAGACATGTGGACACCAAGGTTCAGAGAAGTTGGTGATATATTGGGCAAGTCCTGGCCTGAACCCATATGTTCATACTCCAAATCCTACAATATAATTTTATTAGTAACTATTGTATAGAGTGTATATTCATATATATCAAAAATAGTAGTCATATAGTACTGTATAGAATAGTACCTAATATATACTATAGAGTATTATACATGTAATACTATATACTACTATAGTACTTATACTATTTTCCTATAGTACTGTTAACCAGTACTCACTACTTTTCAGGGAACTGTTTCCTATCTGTGAAGACAAGGCAATATTGGGTGACTCTTTGTAGTCTATGTGAGTCTACAAATGCTGTTATGATCAGAATTTTGCTACTGAACTCTTTCCTGGTCCTTGGCACTCAAACTGTGGGAGAACCTGCTCTTCTGCTGTCTTAACTTGGGGTGCACTATTAGAAGTGTGCCCAGGGAGAATAGACTCAAGGACAACAAGGCAGTGAGACTAAAGTCAAGCTTTTATTATGCTTGGCCTTTTAAAAACAATTCTTTTGAGTTTCTTAAGCCAGTCTGCAAGCTGATAGCTAAAACATTGATGAACTAGGACACCTCATCTATTTAACAAGAAGCATATTTTACAATCAATATATCTTAAAGATATCTGAGAGGTTACTCGCTCAGTGTCAGAAGTAGCCATGTCATTAAACCAGCTTTAAATATTCCAGTGGAAAACTTTTTTTTTTTTTTTTTGGCCGCTGGCCAGTAGAGGAATCCAAACTCTTGACCTTGGAGTTAGCAGCAGCACCGTGTTCTAACCAACTGAGCCAACCAGCCAGCCCTCCAGTGAAAACTGCTGCAGACTGGCTTTATGGGGTAGGAATTTGGGGCTGTAATTGCTCCTGTGGGTGGAGACAACTCCAAGTTGTGTTTGGAGGGAACCATTGGCCCTGTTCACAGGTGTCCCCTCAGCCAACTACTGGCAAAGGTCATCAGCCTGTCCTGCTTTCTCTGGAGTCATTCCTACATGTCTCTTGGGCAGATGGTCTGCCCTGCATCAGCAACCTCGAATGGCTGCACTTCTCGGGGAGGATAACCTAGACTTCCTGGTTCTTTGGTCCACATTAAACTCTCAACTGAGAACACTATTGATGGAGGATTGCCAGAAGGACCAATAGTCCATCAGTCTTCCCGGGGTTCTACAACTCACCTGTAGTCCCCCAACCTTTCAGTCCTCCCCGCCTGCAGGTAAAGTATTTCACTCGTCCTTTGGGATTATATCTACATCATGTAGTATCATCAGAAATGCTTTGACACTTGTATTTATTATTGGTGAAGTCGTTAAAAGTGTTGTTTGCTGTATTAGTGTTCTCTTTATGACAATTGGAAGGAAAGATTCCTCAGACCTCAAAATTAGGGGTCGCTGCCTCAGTTTTATCTTATGGAGTCTGGACTTGATCTTGTTTCCCTCTTTATGCTGACAACTAGGAAGCCAAATTTGTAATTTACCTTTAAGTGTATAAGACCTCCTGTAATGCAGTTTATGTGCTAACCTTATTCCTGGCCTCAACTTTTTTTCCTTTATCCCAATTTTCTTACTTAAAATATTGTTGTAATTTTTATATTTTGTAAGTTATCCTTAAACCCTTTAGGGAAATTTTTAAACATAAAATAGAAGAAAAAGTCTACTCTACGATGTTTGCAGTCAGAATAGTGGTTACCCTTGGGGCAATAGTGACTGGAAGGGCGGGACATGCAGGGCTTTGGGGTGCTGGTCCTACCGTTTCTTCTTGGACACTTATTACATAGGTATCTTCACTTTGTGATGTCAGTGAGCTAAATATGACTTGTGCACCTTTCTGTGTACATTAAACTTCAATAAAATGTTACAAAAAACGAGGACTGAAGGAAACGATACCTATATGTATTGAGGGTCTACTATGTGCCACGTATCATTTCCTTTCATCCTCAGAGTCCTCAGGTCAGTATGGTTATCTCCATTATACAAAGGAATCTGAGGTCCAAACAAGTTAAGGGACGAGGCCAGAATTCCAAATAACTTCTGATAACAAAAACTTATCCTACTACACCACACTGCTCCCCACTTTTCTACTTTAAATACCCTGTCTTTGTCCAGCAGAGCCACTAAAGTCCAAGCAACATTGGTAAGACCTAGCAGAGACACAGGTGACGGGGCTTCTGGGGAGAGGACATCAGGCAGTGCCCTGGGCTGAAGCTGGCAGTGGGATTCATTTGGTAGAGCGGGCTTAGAGGAAAGAGCCCTTGACTACGAGTGAGGAACTGGGGCTGCTCCTGGCTCTCCTCTAACAAACTGCTCCAGGGCAGGGCTTGACCCTTCTCTGTAAGAAGGCCTGTGAGTTGCCCTACAGGCCTACCTTCTTCACAACTTGATTTCAGAAAAAAACACTGCAAGGACAAACTGTACTAATTATTCATCATCAGTTTTGCTCTCACCTGGAACAGCCATCTTCCAGCCTCCAGAGGAAGAGGAGAATATACAAAGCAACAGACTAGCAAGAGATAGGGGTTCCTCTTGCTCCTGCCCCCACATCAGCCCCTCCCAAGCTGCGGACAGACAGCAGAGCTAGGATACCCAGCAAGCATGCTGTATGAGCCCCACTGCCGGTCCCTCTTCTCTCCAGCAGCCAGGACTTATTCTGATTGTACAACTGCTATGACTATTATCCAGCCCCTTCCCACTAGGACCCCTCCTCTCCAGTGGTTGGGGTTAAAGAGCCCTAGCTTGCTGCATGTGTAGTCCAGTCACGTTCTCAAAACAATGTGCTCATCAACAGCTTTCTATAGAAAGGGAAAGGCTTACAGTAGGATCAACTTTTGTGAACAGACCAAAAGAACTCTGATTTTATGTCATAAAGTAAAAGTCATTATATAGCAATGTCTGGGAAACAGGTCAGCAGACCAGTTTAGGGATTTCCCCATATTCCACCACCACACCAGCTATGTGATCTTGGCTTCCTCATTTCCCAACAGGGAGCTGGGACAGTCTATTTTAATGCCCCTCTCAGCTCTGAAATTCTGACTCTAAACTAGACATCAGCTGTATTCCTGGAGAAACTGCATTGGACAGGAGGGGTTGGGGGTGGTGGCCTTCCCCTCCCTCTCCCAGGGCAAACAGTGCAGTTGGGAACTGGTGCAACTGACAGGTTCTTAAGAATCAGGAAGGCAGCCATGGTGCGTTAAGCAGAGACATAGCAAAAGTGGTATGTGTGAAACACTGATCTTGAAGAGGTACACAAATGACCTAAAGGGGAGAAAAATGGGCAAATATGAGATACTGGAAAAGAAGAGAACAATCCTTCAGGCTAAAAACACATATGAATGTGTTATTTTAGTCTATTTGGCCTCATTTTTCTATAGGGTTGTCTGACACACTGCCTGAGGCACACTTACAGAGTCACATGAGTAATGACAAGGATCTCTTCAAATGCTACCGGGTCCTTATGCTTCCTTTTGTGGAATTTTACAGTTCAAAAACATGGCTAAATTATGTTATACCATAAAACTTTACTTCTTAGGCCTTGCGGTTTTATTTATTTATTTAATTAAATTTATTTATTTATTTATTTTCGTCTTTTTCGTGACCAGTAAGGGGATCACAACCCTTAGTGTGGTGTCGCCCACACTGCACTCAGCCAGTGAGCGCACCGGCCATTCCTATATAGGATTCAAACCCACGGCGGGAGCGTCACTGCGCTCCCAGCGCTGCACTCTCCCAAGCGCGCCACAGGGCCGGCCCTTGCGGTTTTATTTACATTCTATGATACACATGCGCGCGCGCACACACTTGCTGCTTTTTATTACAAAAATTATATATGCTTATTTAAGAAAATTAAGATATAAAAATATACAAAGTAAAAAGAGTGATTTTAAACTCTCCTCTCCAAGGGGAAGCACAAACGCCAACCTCACGAACGGTCAGGACTTGGGACCCAGGCCCAGGGCTACAAGAGTGGGGTTCTTTGGAGGCTTCCGGAATTTGCTCTGAAGGAAAACTCTCGGCACACACAGGCCTTCTTTTTTATTCACCGTCTCTCGAAATACATACTCATTCACCACTTCTTCATAACCTGTGTCCAGAAAGAGCTGAGCCAGAAACTCTAGAAAACAAACAGGTCAAGAAGGCTCAAAGTCTTGATAACATCACATTTGCTTTGCAGGAGGAGGGAGGGGTGGAAGGCTAATTTCTTTATTATTTTTTTTTTTTTTTGGTAATGAAAACTTCAATGCTAAAACTTAAATAAGATTGTGTTTTAGAAACAAATATACCCCTACTTCTCGTCTTACACCCAAACAGCAACTTCCAAGTAAATAATTTAATCAGAAAGAGTTGAAGGACAGCATGGATTGTGCAGGTCTGCATGTGCTGTTTGTTTACATGAAGCATCTCATTTATCCTAACACAAAGGAGGAAAATATGTGATCAGAGTGGGGGAAAAAACACCTGATGGGGATATACACCCAGCGAAATTTATTTATTTATTTATTTATTTTGAGACTGGCCGCACCGCGCTCAGCCAGTGAGCACAGCTGCCATCCCTATATAGGATCCAAACCCACGGCGGGAGTGCTGCTGTGCTCCCAGCGCCGCACCCTCCCAAGTGCACCACGGGCTCGGCCCACCCAGCGAAATTTAACCCAAATACATCATTATTAAATAAAACATAGAACAAATGGCTATGTAGCAAAAATACTAAAAGCATTACTCCAAAAAATGTGCTCTGAAGCACTTTGCAGGTATTATTGCATCTTCTTAATTATTTCCAATTGGCTTAATCAGATTTTATGCATCAGAAACATTAAACCATCTCAATTTTCACCTGACAATTTTATGATTTTGCAGTTTTAATATTTATCACTCATTTTTAGTTTCATTTTAGTAGCTAAAAGAATATTTTATTTCAAGAAACATGAGGTTAAGGGTTCAGATGCCCATACCAGCCAGCCACTGAAAAAAAAAAAGAAAGAAAGAAAAACGTTTGTGAAAACAGCTTAAGAAGGTAATTATCTCATGGTCCAGATTATTAGGTAGACTTAAAACTAATGTTTCAGACACCTAAAAGACTGAAATAATGTTTAGCATTTTCTCATCAAAAATAACTTTGTAAATATTCCTTTACAGCAAACTTTGTATTTAAAAATGAATCCAATCAATTCTGAAGAAAAAGATTTCTTGGCTTTGAGCCCTGGGAAAGTAATCTCAAGGCACTATATTCATACTGTTCTATTTGCTTTTTAACTGAACAGAGAGAAGTTTCTGATTTGCCTCCCCCCTTTTTCTAGCACAGATCCTGGAAGGGTGCTATGGATTGAATTACGTCCCCCAAATTTCCATGTTATTAGAAGCCTAACCCACACAATGTCAGTGTTAAGAGGGTGGAAAATCCTATTATGGTAATTGAAAGGTGGGGCCATGAAGAGCTGATCAAATTGTGAGGACCAAGCCCTAGTGAATGGATTAATCCACTGATGGTTTAATGGTGGACATGGGAGTGGTTCTGATGGCTTTAAAAGCACAGTGTATGAAGGGCCGGCCCCCGTGGTTCACTTGGGAGAGTGTGGTGCTGATAACACCAAAGCCACAGGTTCGGATCCCTATATAGGGAGGGCCACTTAGCTCACTTGGGAGAGCATGGTGCTGACAACACCAAGTCAGGGGTTAAGATCCCCTTACCAGTCATCTTTAAAAAAAAAAAAAAAAAAAAGGCACAGCATTTGAGAGGCTTGCCCTCTTACTCCTACCATATTCGCCATGTGATATCCTGTCTCACTATAGACCCACCACCACCAGGGCCCTCACCAGATGTGTTTCCTGGACTTTGGACTTCCCAGCCTCTGAAACCATAAGAAATAAATTATATTTCTTTACAAATTACCCAGTTTCAGGTATTTCTGTTACAGGTGACACAGGTGGACTAATACAAAGGGCATCCATGTGGCAAGTCAGAGCCTGTCTGTGAACCCCACTGGGCACTGTCACCACAGAAGGCTTGTGAACTCTCCACAGGCCAGGGCCATGTCTGTGTCATCCCAGAAGCTGGGTAAGTGGTGTTCATCAAAAAGCTTGTTTGCAGTTTTGTGCATGTGTGCTAAGTACTGCTGCAAGCCCTTCCCCACCAGCAATGAGTAAATGCAATCAAGTAAACGGAAATAAAAGAAAAACATTTTAAGGCTAGATTCCATTCATCTTACCATCAGTAAAAAAATACGATCTGGTTCCATCTTGTCTAACATAAAAGTTTTCTCCAAGTTTGCTGCCGGCTTTAAACCTAAGCATAGCATGATCATACAGCCCATAGTCACGAAACAAGACATTTTTGCCTGGTTTTAATACCTACAAAACAAAGAGAAGGCTGCATATAACTCTGGGAAACCCAGTCTAATAAAATAAAATCTGATTACGTTAAGCATTAAAATACCTTAGATGCGTGATAGTTATGAAAGAGGCCAGACTGAAATACCCATAATATGAAGGAAAAAGGGCCTGTGAGTCAAAGGGATAATAAGACTTGGCAGGACCCCATAATGTTGCAGACACTTCTTGAGCACCTCCAAGGGTACTCTGGAGTGTCTAGTGTCATACAATTAAAAGATTAAAAGACAATAAATGAAACAGTGTTATCCTCATTAAAGCACATTCTCTGAACATTTTATTAGCCATATCCTAGTACTCAAACTGTACCCAACTTTAAAAAAAAAATAAGTCATTTGGGTTTTTTTACTGATTTGGGTTGATTTTCCTTATTCTGAGTCTAAGCTCTGGTTTCACTGTGCTACAATAATGTAGAGCTTGCCCACTATGCTAATAACTGATATGTGCTTGGCACTTGAGTTTACCAGATGTTTCTTCATCGGATTTTCACACAATTCTGAGGGAAAGAAAGAGTGTGATTATCATCCTCATGTGAGATGAAGAAACCGACACTGGAAAAGTTGAAGTGATCTGCCTCCCATCACACATTAGCTACTAAGTCGGGGAGTCAGAACTCACACTTAGGTCAAAAGGTTTCATACAGTAGAATCAGAGATATTTGTTAGCCCTGGGGGTCAGGGTACGTAGGAATCACTCCATTCACACTATGGACAGCAAAAGAGAGGCTCAGAGGAAAGGAGTACCATTTAGTATTCTTCCCATAGTGATATAAGGAGTGGATCATTAGTCCAGAGTACAACAGTACAGGGAAGGCGTCAGCGTCAGAATCAGTGTTAGAGGGCACCATCAGTAGGATGTGGGAATATCCTATCTTTACAAAGGAAACAGCCATATGCTTTTTTTTTTTTTTTCCTGTTTGTCTTTTTTCGTGTCCGGCAACTGATCGCAACCCTCAGTGTTGTGCCCGCACCGGACCGGGACTGGCAACGGGATCGCAACCCTCGGCGCTGCGCCCACACCTCACTCAGCCAGTGAGCGGGAACCGGTCTGTATGTGGGATCCGAACCCTCGGCGGGAGCGCCGCCGCACTCCCAAGCGGCACACTGTAGCAGTGTGCCACCGGGCCGGCCCGAGCCATATGCTTTTTACAATGAAAAGTGGTACACACTGTGACACTTGCTTTTTATGTGAAAATTCTTTCAATCTGTGTGACACTACCAAATGAGAGGGAACTTCAAAGGGGGTACTAACTTTATTAAATCTTATCATTCTAATCCATCATACCAACAAGATAATTTTTAAGACAGGTATTTTAAGATGGACATGTGCTACCTATCGTAATAGATTTTTGTCTCCTTTGGAAAAGATTTTTGTCACTTTCTGGAAAAATGTATGATGTGCTATCAACTTTTCTAAATGTAGTTTGATGTATTTCCTCTTCCTGAATAGAACAGGAACATTTTTCCACAATGCTTTCTAAAGCACTAGCAGATTTTCTCACTTAATAAATTTTTATCGATACTAACATCTATTTTAAATGTTGTCAGTAAAGAGCCTCTTAGATAAAAACATTCTTTCCTTTGTCAGAAATAGCTAAGTTTTTGGGCCGGCCTGGCGGCACACTGGAGAGTGCGCCGCTTGGGAGTGTGGCGGCGCTCCCGCCGAGGGTTCAGATCCCATGTGGAGACCGGTTCCCGCTCACTGGCTGCGCAACACTGAGGGTTGCGATCCCGTTGCTGGTCCCCGGTATGGGCGCGACACCGAGGGTTGCAATCCCGTTACCGGTCAGTAAAAAAGACAAAAAGGGAAGAAAAAAAAAAAAAAAAAGAAATAGCTAAGTTTTAAAATGTGAATAATTAAGAAGGACAAATTCTGAAAAATTTAGTTCACATGAGACTTATTCTTCATTTCAGAAGGAAGGAAAGGCTGCATGGGACAATGGAAAAAACACTCACTCAGGAATTTGAAAATCTTGATTCAAATCCTAGTTTTTCCATAAATGAGTTGAATGACCTTGAGAAAGTAAATTCATTCATCCCTGTGAATATGCTTTCTCATCTGCAAAATGACAATTCACGACAGTAATGCCTCCTTGATCACAAAACTATATAGTCAAACAGGCTTTTCCCAGTGTCATCGTCTTTCATTCTCTCAACAACTCCAAGAAGCAGGTAGGCAAGGAACTATTATATCCTCTTTACAATAAGTAAGGCTCAGAGTAAAGGTGATTTACTTGCCAAGTCTCAATGCAAGTTGGTGGCATAAGGAAGACCAAAATCCAGGTCTTCCAATAACAAATGTGATCTATTTTTACTTCACCACTCTATTTCAAAAATGAAGGAATTCAACTTTAAGGTTGTCTTCCAATTTAAAATTCTGTGATTTAAAACACTTCTCTGGGGTTAGTATCCTGTAGTAATTAAATCAATATTACAACAGCTTATTACTGTGGTTGCTCACTCAAGGCTTCAGAGCTGTCCACAGGGTGTCTTATTGTCAGAGGCTGAGAGACTGCTTCTCCCTTTAGTAATTTCCTGATGAAGCACTTGATTTCAGATTAATGAACCAGTCACTATGATGGCAGCAAGAAGGTAATGAGATTGCCACTGCAAACTCATTCCAGATCAGCTGAAAAAGGATTCTACTGGGGGTAAAAATAGGAGAAATGCTGAAAGGAAATCTGTCACTAAAGAAAGGTGTGGCCTGAGACAGCTCAATATTTTTTTTATATAACATTTAATACCTACTAAAATAGGGATAACATATTGTATATTTCCATTATATGAAGTTCAGGAATTGGTGAAACTGATCTATGATGACAGAAGTCAGAAGGGTGGTTACCTGGGGTCTCTGGACGAGGGGAGTGAGCACTGGGAATCCTGCAGGTGTAGAAAAGCATTCTATACCTAGGCAGTGTTTACATGAGTGTACACACACGTAAAAACCCATCTAACTGTAGACTTAGGACTGGGGTGCTTATTACATGCATATTAAACCTCAAGAAAATATATAAATACAGGTAATATACCTAAGTTGTAAATTATCAATTGAACCCACCATCCAGGTTCAGAACTAGAATATTATCAACACTGTTGCATCTACCTGTATGCTCCTCTCCCACAACACTCTACACCTTACTTAGAATAGACATTCGTTAACTAGAATCCACAGGGCCAAAGTGTCTGCAGTTAGGGTTCGGAAGGGCTGTGAGTTTAGGAAGAAAACAAAGTTAAACCTTTATTTTCACTGCTTCTAATGGAAACCTAGCATCCCTTCAATTATGAATGTAGGCAACCAAAATTTTGACACTAAAGAAGTCACAAATATTCTTACATAACTGTAGAGTTCTTACAAATACCTCAATTTAAATTTACTACTACTTCAAAATTATGGCATTTATTAGACCTGCCACTAGAGATCTTGTTAGTTAATGTGTTAACAAAAAAATCACATTTCACCAGACTACCAAGAAGATTCATGGCACCAAAATGGTAAGAACCCCTGCCCTAGAGCTCTACCAGCCTGGATTTGTGTTACCAATCCACTGCTTTTTGTGAGGGTGCGGGGGGTGGTGGAGTAAGATGCTCAAAAATGGATGTTATAAGTAGTCAGCAACTTGCTTTTCAAAAATTAATCCATGTAATTGTGTACAGCTGGGGTCATTCTATTCTCTTAACAGTACTGTACACAATTCCATTGTTTGAACATACCACAATGTATGTTTCCTCTACTAATGGATTTTTGGGTTATTTTCAGCTTTTTGCTGTCATGAATGTTGCTGCCATGAACACTCTCCTATATGTCTCTTGGTGCATGTGGGTAAGAGTTTCTTCAGGGAATATATGTATGTACAGAATTGCTGGGTCCTATGAATGCAAATGATCGACTCTACAAAAATATGTCAAATTGGTTTCCAAAGTGGTGATACAGATTTATACTCCTACCAGAAATGCGTACGGGGTCCTACTTATCCATATACTTGGCAATACATGGTTTTGTCAGACTTCTTACTTCTTAATTTTGCTATACCAATGGTCTCCCATTACAGTTTTATTTTACATTTCCTGGATTGAGGTTATCTTTTCATATGTAATTCACCCTTTGTGTGTTTGCTTCTAAGAAATGACTATTTGTGCCTGCCCATTTTTCTATTAACTTGTTTGTCTTTCTTCCGAAAGGAATTCTTTCTACATTCTGGATACTAATATTTTGTTAGTTATATGAATTGTTAATTACTTTTCCCAACTTATCTTTTTACCTTCTTTATATCATATTGTCTTATGAAGAATAAAACTTCTGATTTTATTATAATCACCTTTTTGCTTGGAATGCTTTGGGTCTTCTTTCAGAACATTTTCCCCACTCTGAGGTCATATTTTCTTCTGAAAGTTCTAAACTTCTGTCTTTTCTATGTAAGTCTTTAATTTACCTGAAAATGATTTGTATGTAAGCTGTAGAGTAGACATCCAATTTTGTTTCTTCCCATGTGGACAACCAATGGCATCATTTATTGAGCATTCTTTTCTTTCCCAGTGACCTTCAATGCTACCTCTATCATATATCAAATTTCCATATCTGTACAGATCTATTTCTAAGCTCCATCATATTCCACTTGTCAACCTGTCTGTCCCTCTGCCAATACTATTCTGTCTTAATTATTGTAGCTACAATAAATCTTTATATCTGGTAGGGTATAAATCCCCCCCATCTCATTCTTCTTCTTCATGAGTGTTTTGGCTATTCTTGGGCCTTTGTTCTTTCGTGTAAATTTAGAACAGCTCATCAATCTCCTCAAAAACAAAAAACAAAACAAAACAAAACCAAAAAGCCCCATGAAAACAATTAAGACAATCAAACAAAAAATAAAATCTATTGGGGTTTTTATTGTAATTGCACAGTTCAACTAGGGAAGAACTGATAATCTTTACAATACAAAATCTGTCTATGAACATAGTATTTCTCTCCATATAAATTTTCTTTAGTGTACTTCAATAAGGTTACATATAATTACTCTGTCTTACACATCTGTTAGATTTATTCTTGTACCTTTTATTTCATATTCCTTTTTTACATTGCTTTAAAAGTTACACTTTCTTTGGATTATATATTGATTTTATATACATATTGATTTTATATACCGTAACAGACTTGGCTCATTTGCTGGCCTCTAATGTAATAAAACACAGCAGTTAAAACTAACATAGTAACATAATAAAATGGATGAATATTAGCAATATAATGTGAAGTGGAAAAGTAAGATTGCACATTGCATACTCTTTTTATTATTGTGGTAAAATATACATAACAAAATTCACCACTATAATCATTTTTAAACGTACAGTTCTGTGGCATCAAGTATTCATTCATCTTATTCTTATACTTTTGTGATTCTTTTAAAACTTTCTGATAATTACATTGTCTGCAAATATGAATTGTTTCTTTCTCATCCTGAAGTCTTTTTCCCCCTTGTATTTTTGAGCTGACTAGCACCTCCAGTACAATGCTGAACAGATGTACTGATAGTGGGCACTCTCATCCTATAAAGTTCCAGATATTCCTTATTCTATCCCTATCTCCCACTCTTCCCTAATTCCTGAAATCCTTCATCAGTGAAATCACTGGTATCCACCACCTCTTCTAAAGGTTCCCTTCACATTCTTGTGCTCACAGAAACCTGACTGTCCCCTGAGAAAACTGTGTTCTCCGCAACCTCTCGAGTCATGCCTGTGTTTTCTCCCATCGCCTGTGTACCAGCGGGCCTGGTGATGGGGCTGGTGTCCTCCTCTCTCTTCACTGCTACTTTCTATGCATTCTCCTTTCTGCTCTTTAAACCCCCTAGCTTTGAATCTCTTGTCCATCAGATTACATCACTCTCTATCTCTTATTTTACTATCCTCTCTCAGTTCCAGGGTCATTTCCCTTTATTTTACCATGAATGTATCTTCTGGCTTACTGCCCCATCCTCCTGAATGCTATTCCATTCTTAATTCTGGTCAATTTCAATATACATGTAGATTATCCTCCCAAATATGCTGGTCTTAATGCTTTGAGCTTCTCTCTTCTAAAGATTTTATCCTCGAGCCTATCTAAACCACTTACTCCCATGGTAATCTCCTAATGCCGTGCCAACACTAAGAAGTATAACCTCTTCATACTCTCAATGCCAGGCATGTCACTCTGATCGCCCCCTCCATCTTTCCGGCTCTCTCTCTCTCTCTCTTTCCAGTTCTCCACTTTTAATAATCCTTAACCCTCACCTGGATCTCCAAATCAGGCGATCCTACCACCTTTTCCCTGATGCCCCTTCTTCCCTCTTTATTCAGTTTAAGTTCCATGACCAATTATGGGTTATGGTGGGTTCCCACATGCTCAGATACCAGGGGCAGAGAGAGTAGAAAGAGAAAAAAACCTTATAAAACTCACAAGCAGAGGGCTAAAAACAGTATGGCAAGATCTAAATTCTTTTTTTTCCTTTTTGTCTTTTTTACTGACCGGCAACGGGATCGCAACCCTCGGTGTTGCGCCCGCACCGTGCTCAGCCAGTGAGCGGGAACCGGTCTCCACATGGGATCTGAACCCACAGCGGGAGCGCCGCCGTGCTCACAAGCAGCGCACTCTCCAGTGTGCCACCGGGCCGGCCCAAGATCTAAATTTTTTAAAATATTGTTTCAAGTGAGAATAATTCCCTAACAGGTTTCTAGCATCTTGAAATTTCTACCCCAGTACTTATTTTAAAACAATTAAAACTCGTGTTAAATTTTAAAGTATAGCTCTAAATACACAGAAGCTCTCTTACCCAACACCTACTTTTTTAACTTGCCAAATGTAAAAGCAGACTGTAAAAGTCTCCCCACCCTCTATAAAAGCAGACTGACTGAAGTTCCCTGAATGGCTGAGGCTGGTAGGCTTTCTAGAGCACGTGCCCTTGCACTTTAGCGTCACAGGTGAGCTGCATGCCTGCAATCATTCACTTGTCTTTGCTCCCAAACTTGCTTATGCCAGTTGTACTCGGAATTACAATTATATACTTTAAGACAGTATATAACAATAAAACATGAATGTGAGTAGGAAACATTTTAATTTTCTATAAAAAGCTAGCTGGACATTTTGGAAAGACTTGATAAAGAAGTGCCAAATAAACTGCTTTTAATTAGGTGTGAGAGAATCAACTGTGAAAGTCTGAGTAAAAATACAAAAGAATCTGCCTTTGGTTTACTTTTCAATTGTTTTTTGCTCCACTTGTAAAGAAACCAAAACTCTATTATGTGTGTGGTTTAGTAAGAAATATGATCAATAGCCCCATACTCAAAGAAAAGACCTTGACTCTACATCAAAAGAGTGAATAAATATTTATATATTTTAAGTTATAATAAAATGTCTACTGTAAGAATGTACCACTTTTTAAATAATTTCTTGATTTAGTTGATTTTTTAAATTAACCAATACTGTTACCAATAGTTCACACATATAAAAGAGCTTCCACTGCAGTTTACAAGCACTCATACATGTTGTCACCCATGTCTCACAACTCTGTGAGTGAGACACATCCCCATCTTACAGTCAAGAAGACAGAGCTCAGAGATGGAAGGGTGAGATGGCTTGTCTTGAGTCACATGTTTTATGAGTGAAGCTTTACTTCCTGAGTGCTACAGCAGTTTGGACTCTCCCCATTCTAATAGTAATAATGATGGTAGTAACACCACCAACGATGGCTGAATTTTAAAGAGCACTCACCATGTTCTAGGCATTGTGCTAAACACTTTATACATATCTCACTTAATCTACCCCAAATCCTGAATCTAGGAACTATTATCTCAACATTTTATAGGCAAAGAAACTGAGGCTCAGACAGGTAAAGAAACTTGTCTGAGTGGCAAAGCCAGGTTTTGAACTTAGGCACTCTGATTCTAGACTGTGTGCTCTTGACCACTGAATCATACTTCCTCTCACATTACAGCAGGACTCCATGGATCCCCAGTAGCTGCAAAATCATCCTTGCTCCAGGGCTGGCCAAGCTCTGAAGAGCAGCCAGGGCACTATACAAGTCAGAATTTAGGGTGGATGTTTTATGCCAGAAAACCCCTTTCCGTACACTTACTACACAAACTACCTACTGAGAATGAGGAGATTCTGCGAATCTAGGCAGTACATGAGAGCTCTAGAGGGAAGGTAAGGAGGAAGATCAGGATGACCAGCCCTCATGTGTAGGCCCCACATCACTAACCTTGTAAATATTTTGTAAGACAAGGCGCATCTTATCAGGATGAACAGCCGAGAGCACAAATATCAACATGACAACATCCACAGACTCTGGTGGTACATGATCCAGAAGGTTATCTTTAGTCAGATCACACTGGAATACCTTGCATCTTTCTGTGTCATATGAAGGATTTTGCTAGAGAGAAGAAAAAACAAATGAATTTTAACACAACCAACATGCTGATACATATAAGAAAATAGAAATGAAAGATCACTTTGGTACTGGGTAAACCTTAGTAATGAACTATTCCCATATAAAGCATGTAATATTCAATACTGCTACAAGGGGCAAGATTCCATTTTAACAAATCATTTTTAACTGAGGAGAGAATACAGTCTATCACATATTCAAAAGTGAGCATTTTAGAAGCATAGATTTTCAGAGGGATGATAATCCAAAACTGGCCTCTGCTCCCTCAATCCTCCTTTGGACCATTCACTACAAGCCTAAACCCTATGAGAAGTCCTTCCTACTCCCCTTACTGTGATGCTCCCACAGTTCTTCTGAGGTATATTTTCTCTTGATGTAGCAAGGTAAATAAATTTAACTTTTTTTTTTTCACTGCCAACTGTGTACCTGGTACATTTTGGTTGGTAGGCTTCAACACATGTGTAAGAGTATTACAAAAAAAATATTAAACTTTTCTTTCATGTAAATGAAGGCTTAAATAAATAGATCTACAAAATTATTGGATGGGAAAATTCAATACTGAAAAGTCAATTGTACCCATAATTCCACCCATAAATCCAATGCAATCTCAAGTGAATCCCAATAGATTTCTCAAAACTTGACAAGGTGAATCTAATTTATCTGGAGCAAAAAAATCTCTATCAATATCCAAGCCAACTTTTAAAATGAAGAACAATGAAGGAGGAGGTACACTACTGGACATCAAAACGTGTTATAAAAATGTAGTAATAAAATAATGTGGTTGGAGAACTGGGGACAAATAGACCACTGAGACAAAAGAGAGTCCTAAAACAGACCCGTGTGTGTGTGCGTGCATGCGTGCGTGCATGCGTGCGTGTGTGTGTGTTGTGTGTAAATTTAGTGTTTTACATGATAAAAGACAAGTAGACAAAGGTGGCAATTAGATAGTAAGGAAAATAATAAAGGACAATTATCAGTGAGGGAAAATTAATTTCTCATTAAATTTATTGTGTTTGGACAACTGGCTACTCATATGAAGTAAAGGACAACTAGCTATCCAGATGCATTAAAGGACTTCCAGTGTCAGCTCAGAGATGTACAGAAGTGGAAAGACATAGCTGCCATCCTTACAACAAGAAAAAAGCTGAAAAGAAAGCAAACTAATGACTTTTTTGTGAACCCAAGGAGCAGAGGTCACAGAACAACCTGCCATCCCAAAATCTGGAGAGAGGTGACATCAGGGAGACACAGGACCCAAGCACTTGCTTACCTGAGGCAGATGCTTCCAGAGTAGAAAGATAACACTAGAAACTTGACAAACTGCTAGAGACCAAGGATGGACATTACACTGTGAAGTCATAGGGATGTTCTCACCGTCTGCAGGTGTTTCTATCAGGAATGTCACCAGGCTCTCAAAGAGAGAATGGTGCTCTTTCTGGTACTGGCCTTTCTCAACTCCTTTAATGAAGAAAAGGCTGAATCTGCAGGAAGAATGGCCTCAAGATCATACAGGAGGACGCTGGTGGATACATCCTGCAGCTGGGGAAGGATGGGGGTGGAAAGCTCTATGCTTAAAGAAGCAGAAGCATTTGTGAAGGCCATGCCCTTCAGACAGAGGCCTACTGTACAGTTCAAAACAGAGAAGCAGAACAGTGGAGAACAATCCCCTCTCCCACACTCCATTGATAAGTCTCCAGTAATAACAACGGTAAATTGCAGATGGGAGACATGAACAAGGCAAACTCTTTTTGGGAACCAGCACAAAGGGAAGACCCAAAGCCAAGAGAGGAGACAAAAACAAAGTCACAACAAGAGTCAGAAGTCTCTGCCCATAGCAACAACAAACCTCACAGATAACTATAACAACAACAGACGTCAAACACAGTCCAACTCCTGACTAGAGTGTTACAAATCTCCATTACCTCATTATCTACGGCCCTATATAAGAAGTCTGGCTTCAGCAAAAAAACATACAAGGCATACCAAAAGGCAAGAAAAAACATAGTCTGAAGAGACAAAGTAATCATCAGAGCCAGACTCAAATATGACACAGATGTCAAAACTAAAAGTTAGAGTTTTTTGGGTTTTTTTTAAAGATAACCGGTAAGGGGATCTTAACCCTTGACTTGGTGTTGTCAGCACCATGCTCACCCAGTGAGCTAACCAGCCATCCCTATATGGGATCCGAACCCGTGGCCTTGGTGTTATCAGCACCACACTCTCCTGAGTGAGCCACGGGCTGGCCCAAGTTAGGGTATTTAATAGTTATGATGTTACAGGCTCTAACGAAAAAAGGAGACAACATATAAGATCAGATAGGTAATTTCAGAATGGAAACTAGAAAAAAGACTCAAATGGAATGCTAAAAACTAAAAATACTGATCTCTGTTGCTGGTAGGAAAAAAAGAAAAGTAAAAACAAACAACATGGTAATAGAAATGAAGAGTGCTTTTTTTGGGGGGGGGACCGGTAAGGGAACAGAACCCTTGGCTTGGTGTCGCCCGCACCGCATTTAGCCAGTGAGCGCACCGGCCATCCCTATATAGGATCCGAACCTGCGGCCTCAGTGCTCCCAGCGCCGCACTCTCCCGAGTGAGCCACGGGTTCGGCCCATGAAGAATGCTTTTGACAAGTTCATTAGCAGAAAATACCTACTGCTTGGGAAACAACCAGTGAAATTGATGATAGGACAACAGAAATTATACAAACTAAAAATGCAAAAAGGAAAAAAGTGTGGGGGAGGGATTCTAAAAGAACAGTATTTAAGAGCCATAGGGAAATAGCAAAGAGTATAACATAAATGTAACTGGAATCCCAGAAGGAGAAGAGAGAACGAGAGCTAAAGAAATTATTTGAAAAAATAATGACCAAAATTTTTCCATATTAACTAAAAAACTTAATAACCAAAATTATAAAAGCAATATATAGGTAACAGTGTCTAAATACTAGGGTAAAGAACTCCTAAACAAGACATACTCACAAAACCTTAAAACCTCAAAAGGAAGAAAAGGATGAAAAAATTTGACACGATAATTTAAATCATGTGTAAAAAAAAGATACTATAAAACAATGATGAATAAACTGGAAGAAATGTTTGCAACATATATACCAGCATATCTTGAATTTATCCTGAAAATAAGAAAAAAATAATGACTAACAAATAGAAAAATGGGCAAAAATTATGAATGAACAATTTCTACTATAATATAAGCTCCACATGGGTGGAGATTTTTGTCTGTTTTGTTCACTGCTTAACCCCAATGCTTACTTAGAACAGTGACTGGCACACATTAAGATCTATCCAATAAATATATGTGGATTAAAGTAACTCAGAGCAGAAGAAAAACTAATGCTTATTTACATATTACAAGGTCTGCAACCTCTCTGGTAATAAAGAGAAAACAAATTAAAATATACAGACATATTTGTCCTTAAGATTCGTAAATATAAAAATGACTGATACCAAATATTAAGAGAATAGAGAAAAAGGTACCTTTATATTATTGGTGAAATTATAAACTGATGTGATCTTTTTGGAAGGAAGCTTGGCATTATCTACTAAAATTTAAGTGTGCATGCTCTTCTTCCAAGGAATGCTACTTCTTCCATTATTCACCATAGAGAAAACATGTTTTGAGAAGCATGTGTATATATGATGCTGGTCACATTAAGCCTATTTGTAAGAGCAAGAAATTAGAAACAATTTAAATGAATATCAACAGGGTAGTTAAATAAAGTATGGTATATCCATTTTATGGAACACTATAAGAGGTAAATAAAATGTGGTAATCTATATGTACTAACATGAAAAACTCTGCAAGATATAATAATGTAGAATGAAGAAAGCAAATCATAGTAAATGTAATACTACCATTATTAAAAAGAAGTCTAACGGACGCTGAAACTGTCAAAGGTGGACGGGGAACTAGATATCTGCATGTTGCCAAAGTGTTACCCATATACTTGTTAATGGCAAAAGGGAAATATTTTAATAGGGGAATTTGGCAGTTACTACCTTAACCCGGTGATCAAAACTAGTATCACTTATAATGAGATCACCAGACATTATTGCCTCCTAACAGAATGCAACATGTAAGACATACCATCACCTATTAAAGTATTTTTGCCAAAAATATTTTACCTGATTTAAGTGTAACTTCTAGTTTACAGGAAACACAGAGGACAGAGCACCAAATTAAACAGTAACACAAAGAAACAATCAGACCAATTTGAAATGTGGGACTTTTAACAGAAAATTAGCTGATATCTCCAAAACTTCAATGTCAACGGGAAAAAGGTCAGGGTTTAGGGCAGGAGTATTTTAGGCTGAGGAGATTTAAAGGACATTGTGGAAGTATAAGAGGTAGTCCTTCACTAGATAAAAACAGTTATAAAAGACCCCTGGAACTATTTGGTGATATCTGAATCTCGAATGGATATTAATGATATTAGGAGACTACAGTTACTTTTGTTACATATGAAAATTTATTGTGGTTGTGTACAAAAAGGCCTTATTTGGGGGGGATATGTATGCAAATATATTGGGGAGTGTAATGTTTGACACTTATAATTTACTTTAAAATAGTTCAGCAAAGCAAAAAGTTTAAAAGCAAAAAGGGTTAAGTATCAGGGTGGCGTTACGGTATTTTTTTCCTACTTTTCTTGAATAAAGCTGTTTTTCTATATGTTCTGTATATGTTTGTAAACAGGAAAACTACATTCATGGAGATCATAGCTGGTTAACTCTAGGGAGAGGATTGGAATTGGGCAAATGTGGGTAGAGGGCAGGTCAAAAAAATCTAATAGAAACATAGCGGAATACACAGATGGAGCACCAACCTTAACATACTCAACTGCTCTTGGAGAAAAATCACAAGCATAGGCAAAGATATTCAGATCTTCTTCTAAAAGCGGGAATAAACAGTTCCCGACCCCACAACCAGCTTCAAGTATAGTCAATTTTTGACCTTCAAACTGGGGAAAGAGGACACAAAGTTACAATATGTTACATTTGCATAATGAAGAAATGAACCAAACTAAAAGGTCCAGAACTGAGACAAGGTCTGTGATCCCATAGAGCAGACAATAAATAAGTGAACTAATAAGCGAAAGCTAATACTACTACCTCATTTTTTTTTTCCTTTTTGTCTTTTTTCGTGACCGGTAACTGGGATCGCAACCCTCGGTGTCGCGCCCGCACCGCGCTCAACCAGTGAGTGGACCGGTCTCTATATAGGATCCGAACCCTCGGCGGGAGCGCCACCCTCTACCGAGTGCGCCACCGAGCCAGCCCTACTACCTCATTTTTCATCCAACATTGGGCACTTAAGTGTGGAGGAAAAAAAACATCATCATGACTAACTGAACAGGCTCTGGAGCTAAACTGTCTGAACTCAAATCCCAACTTTTCCCCTGCCCCTGTATTCTATCCTTGGGAAAATCACTTAAACAACTCTGTGCCTCAATTTCACTGCAAAAGGGGATAATATTAATGCTTACACTTCACAGAGTTATTATAAGGCTTAAATGAGAGAACATGTGTAAAGTTCTTAGAAAGAACCATGGTAAATAGTTCTTTAACATTAACTATTATTATGAATCTGTCACTGAAGTCGCTCAGTATGAATTTAACATTTAATGTTTACAACTTTCATATTAGCTTTAAAGAAATAGAAAATGATCACTAAAGTTCTCTCTCCTGTGTATTAAACAACGCAGAAACTGTTAAAACTACTTGAGACCAAACAGTGTATTTCTCATTTTGATAGGCTTCATAAATTCTCCACTTCACACTCACATAGAAATACAATAAAGCGCCCCTCTTCTATACATTTTAAAGGAAGAACAACTCAGATAAGGTGTAGTATTAGCTTACCTCCCTATATGATCTTAGCTCTTCAAACTCTCTGACGGTCCAGTGTCTATCTTTGAAGAAGTTAGTACTATTTCTTTTGTAGAAAAGGTCCCAGTTCTTCTGAGCTTCTTTTTCCAATTTTTGCTGTTTAAAATCAGACACCAAAGCTTGGTCTCTTTTCAGTTTCTCCTCTTCTTCAGAGCTGAGAATCCTTGCCTGTGGCTCTTTCCTTTGCAAAGAGGCCATCTCATAAATTGACGGTATTACATTTAACACTGCTGAAAATTCTTCATCCCTAAATAATCTGAGGCATCCATGCTGATACTGTAGTTACAGGGTTTTCTCAGTTGCATTTCCACAGGTGGGTTTCACACCTCAGGCAGCATAGGGTGCTTCGCAGGAAAAAGAAAGATTCTGGTTAGTAGTTCTAAGACGCTGGGCTAGTGGTTCTAGAACATTTCTTTAAGACACCGGCTTAGTGGTTCTAGAACAGTTCTTTAAGGCGCTGAGTTAGTGGCTCTAAAACAGTTCTTGAAGAAGCCCAGTTCAATTCACCAAATATCTATGAGATGCTGACTCTACACCAACCCTGTCCTCTATTCGAGGAGAGATCACAAAGAAGACCACGACACCGTCCCTACTTTCAGAGAGCTTACATTCAGTGGGCAGTACTGTCTCATGCACCGAACTCTAATTCAAACCACAACGAGTCAGCTATTACAATGAATCGGCTTAGTTTAGAAAAAGGACCCTCCTCCGAACTGAGAAACCTTGGGAAGAAAATACTCATCAATTTTCGGTGCTCGTGAAAGGGATGACTTAAAAATAACCACAACAGCTGCCCGAACTGGAAGCAGGTAGTCAACAGCAAGAGAGAAATGGAATCAGCGTTTCTCTAGGGTCGAAGCCCCGTTTTTCGGGGGGAGATGGAGCTAAGCCTGGGTGGCCCGAGTAGCACTCACAAGAGATTCTCACACGAACCAGAGGGGGCGTCGCTCTCCAGGGACTGAGGCCCTCGCACCACCACCACCGCGCGAAATAGGGAAGAGACCCGGTGACGCGTGGCTCAGGTCGCCAGGGTCCTTTCTCTCGGGACACTCGTAATAAACTAGGCCTTACGGGCCTCTAGGGCCGCCCACACTGGCTATGAGACCCGCTGTTAATCTAGTCTGGAACGGTCTGGGCTCACCGTCATCAGCTACTAGGCTCACCTGTAGGGGTGGGGCCGCGCGCACTCACCCCTCGGCCAGGCCTACGCCTCGGAGGCAGAATTTGGGAGCTGCCGCGAAAAACACCTGAGCCTGGACAAACCAGCCTCGAGGATCTCCAATTCGGATTCTCCGGCAGGAACTTTTTCGCCATGGTACCGCCCCCTCCACTTCCGCTAGAAATCCGGAAGTCCCTCCCCAACACCGGAAGTCCCCCGGCCTTGCTTCCTCAGAGTCTTCCCCGACCGGGGCGCGAAGGAGAGGGCTTATTTCCGGCCCCAGGTGGGCGCTGGCTCGGCTCTAGGTGCGCTCCGGAGCGGTGTCCCGGGAGCACCGTCCTCCCGGACGCTGGCGCCGGACGCTCGGACCGCGGCCGCCCCGGGAGAGCGCCTGTCTGGGCGCGAGGCCCGTGCGGGGCCATGAACGGGACCGCGAACCCGCTGCTGGACCGCGAGGAACACTGCCTGCGGCTGGGAGAGAGCTTCGAGAAGCGGCCGCGGGCCTCCTTCCACACCATTCGCTGTAAGTTAGCGTTCCCCACGGTTCCATTCGGCCCCTTCGGCCGCCACTTGCCAGTCTCGACTCCCTCCTGCCTCCCTTGACCCTCCAAAGTCCAGGGAATCCCCTTCTCTCTTACCCCAAATCCTTCTCTCTTACCCCGAATCCTCCGGGACCTCAATTTATTCCTTTCGTTTTGTTTTCTTTGTTAGATCACTCCTCTCAAACCAAGCCATTCGTCACTCCCTGCTATTCTTTTACCTCATAGTCCCAAGCACTAATTCCGAAGATCACTGCTCTTTTCACCCCCACCCCAGCCCTTAAGCCAAATCTCCCCCGTCTTTATCGTGGTCCAGTTCTTCTCCCTCGAATCCACCCCCCTTTTTTCTCATTACCTCATCAGGATTCCCCGCGTTTAAAAGACTTTTCCCATTGCTGTGAGCCTCATCCACTGCCTCCTACTCTATTCTATTCTCTGCTTTTCTCAGCTTTCCGTCTCCGACTTGGTTCTGGCCATCATGACGCTGCGCTCCATCCCCTACGGCCAAAGAATCTGCATTCCCCCTACGCTCCATCAGAGTCTTCCTCCTCCCTCTTTCCGTGCCTCGTTTTAGGTCACGTATACCACCCTGACTTTTCCTCCAGACCAAGTCTCTCGTGGGTGAAGGATAAAATTAGAATTGTGAGCCTGGAATGGGCTAAAACTTGATTTATGTTTGGAAACAGAAGAGGGAGAGCAGGCGCAGGAATGTCGAAATAGTTATTATGCTGGATCTTTTTCCGCATGATTACAGACTCTGTTGAGAGAGGGCACTTCCACTCATGTCCTGGATAAAGATTTGGCTGTTAGGAATTGGCTGATGGAGCATCCCTCCATGATTCACAAGCTTCTGGTCTCCCATAGTGCTAACACTGATTAAGACTTGTTTTTGTCAGAGGAGCTAATAGATGTGACTCAACACATAGAAAGAGGGTGTGTTAGATTATGAAGTTCCATCTTCGTGTGGTCACTTGCCATGCCTTTACTGTGCTTCCTACTGACAGATCCAGCTCTCTCAGAGAGAGGATATTGGAATGTGATAAGAACATCCTTTCCTGAGCAGTTTACTAAGTTGGTGTTTTCCTCCAGTGAAGGGCAATGTGGAATTTAAATGAGAGAGTTCACGTATATACCCGACCTGCAGTGCACAGGCAGGTGTGTTAATGTGAAGTAAGATGGCTACTTATGTTGTACTTTAACTGCAATTCAGAAACACTAACAGAATATCCCCTTTGGATATACGGTTCAACTGTCTGCTCCAAACATCCACAGAAGTGTCTTTGTCAAAGCTATGGAACTTGAGTGTGGCAAATCCTAATTTTGATAGTTTCTGTGCCAAGTGAAATTAGCTTTTATGGCCTTTCATATTTCACATGGGGTTTTACAATCACAGACTCTTTTTCATGTGTTTGTTGCTTTTGATCCTCATAATCCTAGTAAAAACATCTTATTATGGATAATGAGGCATTTTCATCTGTCCCTTGAGAGAAGGGAATAATCTTTACTCAGTAAAACGGTGTGGAAATTCTAGCTCCCCCGCTCTCCCCCCCCAATAATCCATTGGGGGTCAGAGAAGTATCTAGAGGTGTAAATAGAACAGGGTTGTCCCTGAGTTGGTAATTATTGAAGCTGGATGGTAGTATATGTGGGAGTGGTTCATTATATACTATTCTCTCTAGTGAAGCTTTCTATAATTAAATAGTTTTTTAAGAATTCTAAATCATTTTTATTTCCCATTTACCTGAATCATGCAAATTTTAATTCTGAATTAAAACGCCCAGGAAGCTCTTATTGTGTGTAAAATGCTTTTTTTCCTTTCCCTTTAGATGATTTTAAGCCAGCATCTATAGACACTTCCTGTGAAGGAGAGCTTCAGGTTGGCAAAGGAGATGAAGTCACAATTACACTGCCACATATCCCTGTAAGTGTATTCCATTGTTGATACTTTAATGTAGAATCAAAATGAATCCTCATGTTTTATGTTATTGCAATTTGAATTTCCTACTGTTTAAAAATTTCTAGATTTCTAAAGTGCCAACATAAGGGGAAAAAAGGAATTTTGAGGGGTAGGGAGGGGGGCGGAACTCATGTTATCTAGGTACTTGATTAAAAATGATTCTTTGTCATTTTCCCCAGGGCCCCCCCCCCCCATTTGCTGCAAAGTAAACAAGGTTCTTGTCTAAACACCTAGCCCCTCTCTTAGACATGGATAGCTTTTCTCCCAAGCAACTCCAAAGAGAAAAGCCCTAGATGCCCTGCTGATGTATAGCCCTAACAGTTCAGGCGTGTGGGGCAGCCACACTAGGAGTTCAGGCAGGCAAGAGCAGGACTGACATCTTTATATCTGGTGCAGGCTCATAGTCTCAGGCAGAAACCACAGGTTCAGAACATTCAGCTAATTTAGGGATGAAGAACTCCATTAAAAGCTGGATTGAGAACCTTTGCAGAGAAAGACTTTTGTGAAGACACGCCCAAGGCAGCAAGTTGATCACAAAGCCCAAAGGGTCACACAGGATGCTCCTAATAAACATGTGTCATTTCATGTCACAACCCCGTCCCGGAACATAGTATGTACTTGGTAGCTGGTGATAGAATAAAAAGGCTCTGGACAGGGAGACCTGCGAAGCTTTGTGCTGAGGAAAAATAATTTTCTGCTTGTTCAAACTTCGGTTTATTACTTGTTGCCTTTGGCAAGTTACATCATCTCCCTTTGGACCTTCGTTTCCCAAATGTAAAATGAACGGGTTAGGTAGCTGGTCCCTAAGGTCCTTTCCAACTCTAAATTTTTACTGTCTGAATAAGCAGTCAAAGAACCAAGCAGTTTTTTATTCTAAGCAAAGCTTTAAATCCTAGTATTAATTGAACACCTATTGTGTGCTGACCCATTACTAGGCACTAAGAATACAACCTTGAACAAAGCAAGCACATTTCTTGCCCTTATGGAACTTATAATCTGGAGTTTAAATAAAAATAAGAAAATATAGCATTTATTCTAGAAAATCAGAGAAGGCTTCCTTAAGGAAATAACCTTTCAGCAGATCTGAAGGTTGTGTGATTTAAAGAGGGAGGAGCAGGATGGAGCAGGCTGAAACCTTGTTGAAACTGAGGCAGGAAAGAGCTTGAGTATCTGAGAGAAGCCAGTTGCCTTCTGTTCTGGAGCACACAGCCTAGGGGTGGGTGGTGCAGCTTGAGGCTGTAGTGACAGGGAAGGGCCAGGTAGTGCCAGGCCAGATGGCTGGTATAAAAATTTTATCCTTTGGGGCCAGCCTGGTGGCGCACTGGATAGTGCGCCGCTTGGGAAGCGCGGCGGCGCTCCCGCCCGAGGGTTCAGATCCCACATACAGACCGGTTCCCGCTCACTGGCTGAGCGAGGCGTGGGAGCAACACCGAGGGTTGCGATCCCGTTGCCGGTCCCCGGTCCGGTACGGGGGCAACACTGAGGGTTGCGATCCGTTGCCGGACACGGAAAAAGACAAAACACACACACACACAAAAAAATTTTATCCTTAATCCCTTGGCCTGAGAGCAACAGGGGAGCAATTGAAGGGTTTAAGCAGATGAGTGGCATGATGAACGAACTCTGAGCAAACCAGGATAATGACCTGCCCTTGGTCAATGCTCTGTTGGTTACTTGGCATGAGGGGGAAACCCTGGACTCTGCAATTACAAAGAAATATAGGTATCACTCTCTAGTTCATAGTGATAGTTCTACTTAGTGCAATACAAGTAATGATTAGTTTGTTTTTCTGTTTGTACTTTACCAGTATTTGTAACATTTTCCAATCCCTTAGAAACACATACAGTAGTTTTAAGTGTTTATACTACCTTTCTTGGTTACTTAGAACCAGTTGCATAGTCACAGATTCTTGCTCTATTATTTCTTCATTATTTTTGTGTGGGAAACCAGGAGTTAAAATAGAAATCAGTTCATTCTGTTCTTTTTGAGTAGCTTTGATAAAAGATTTGTTGAGGTAGAGTTGATGGAGTTTGGATGTGTTGTCCCCTGCAAAACTCATGTGGAAATTTGATCCCTAATGTGGCAGTGTTGGAAACTGATTGAGTCAGGGGGGTGGATCCCTTATGAATGGATTAATGCTCACCCTGGGGGAGGGAGGAGTAATGAGTGAGTTCTCGCTCTATTAGTTCCCACGAGAGCTTATTATTTATAGGACCCTGGCACCTCTTGCTTCTCTCTCTTGCTTCCTCTCGCCATGTGATCTGCTTGTACCTGCCGGCTGCCTGCCACTTTCCACCATGAGTAGAAGCAGCCTGAGGCTCACACCAGATGCAACTGTCCCAGAATCGTAAGCCGAATAAACCTCTTTCCTTTATAAATTACCCAGTCTCAGGTATTTCTGTTATAGCAACACAAAACAGACTAAAACAAGACATTAGGTTTGATACACATGACTGGCGTATTTGATTGATCATCTTCTCCTTTTGTGGCAAATAGGGATCCACACCACCGATGACTGTGTTCAAGGGGAACAAACGGCCTTATCAGAAAGACTGTGTACTTATTATCAATCATGACACTGGTGAATATGTGCTGGAAAAACTCAGTAGCAGCATTCAGGTCAAGAAAACAAGGTATGTGAAAAGCCAGATATAGATTTATATGATGTTTCTAAACCTTTGTGTTATTATCTGTTCAGTTTTCACAAGAATGTATCTGCTTGCTCATAGTGTTGTATTGACAACCTTAACAACTCCACTTATGTCTTCTCAGACTAATCAATAAAATATATCTTTTCCGGGCCGGCCCAGTGGCGCACTCGGTAGTGTGGCGCTTGGGAGCGCAGCGGCACTCCCATGTAGAGACCGGTCCGCTCACTGGTTGAGTGTGGTGCGGGCGCGACACCGAGGGTTGCGATCCCGTTACCAGTCACGAAAAAAGACAAAAAGGAAAAAAAATATATATATATATCTTTTCCTCAAATGCAATAAAAAGAAATTATGTTTTTAAGACCTAAAACATGGAAGCCATTTGGGAAAGGGATATACTTTATAATTAAGCAAATTTTACCCATCTCATGATTATTAATATAGTACCATTAAGGGATGAGATTTAAATTTATAGACTTATAATTATGAAAGAATAATTGAAAAATATATATTCTTTATAAGGGTGAAAACATTAATTCTTTTACAAGATATATTTGAGGTCACTATAATACCAAAATAAAACTGCCTGTTTTTGGGCCGGCCCGGTGGCGCACTGGATAGTGCGCCGCTTGGGAAGCGCGGCGGCGCTCCCGCCCGAGGGTTCGGATCCCACATACAGACCAGTTCCCGCTCACTGGCTGAGCGAGGCGCGGGGGCAACACCGAGGGCTGCGATCCCGTTGCCGGTCCCGGTCCGGTACGGGGGCGACACTGAGGGTTGCGATCCATTGCCGGACACGGAAAAAGACAAAATAAATAAATAAATAAAACTGCCTGTTTTTTTCAATAGTGAACTCTAATATTTTATTCAACAGGTATTACATATCTAATGTGAAGCCAGTCAGAGTTTATTTGAAAGTCAGAATTCATTCTGTTAGTAGAAGTAACCAAGTAGTTCTATTTGTTACATTGCAATACAGTAATTATAATATAGTGATTAAATTTTAAAGAACTTTACAACCTGATGTTTTTCTATTTAGGCTTTCTCAAGCCATTTTTTTCATTTACTCATTCCACAAAAAATACCATTTATTGAGAGGGGATCATGTGCCATGCACTATGCCAGATGCTTTACATGCATTATCTAATCTTTGCAAGTAATTTTTAGAAAGGTACTATTGGGCTGAGCCCGTGGCGCACTCGGGTGAGTGCGGCGCTGGGAGCGCAGTAGCGCTCCCGCCGCGGGTTCGGATCCTATATAGGGATGGCCGGTGCGCTCACTGGCTGAGCGCGATGTGGCCGGTCACAAAAAAAAGACAAAAAAAAAAAAGAGAGAAAGGTACTATTATTGTCCTTAGGAAAAAAAAAAAAGATGAAGAGACTGAGGATTAGAGAGATTGTGACTTGCCTAAATTGAGTTTTAGAGCCGAGACCTACCTCAGTCAGTGTGCAGCAGAGCCCTTGCTCCTATCCTGCTGCTCTGTTTATTTGTATTTATTATGTATAGTGAACCAAGTGCAACGGTTACTCCTCCAATATCTGATGGTTGTGGTCTATTCCCTTACTACTCAGTATGATCTGGGGACTAGCAGCATCGTACTTACCTGGATACTTGTTAGACATGCAGAATCTCCAGACGTACTAGGTCAGAATCTGCAGAGATCTCCAGGTGATTTGTGCATATGCTAAAGTTTTTTTTTGTTTTTTTTTTGTCTTTTTTTCCGTGTCCGGCAACGGGATTGCAACCCTCGGTGTTGCCCCCGTGCCTCGCTCAGCCAGTGAGCGGGAACCAGTCTGTATGTGGGATCCGAACCCTTGGCGGGAGCGCTGCCGCGCTTCCCAAGCGGCGCACTAGCACAGTGCGCCACCGGGCCGGCCCGTGCATATGCTAAAGTTTGAGAAGCACTGGGCTAGTCCATTTACAAAAGAAATTGTTAAAGGATAGAATTTTCTCAGTTTGGGGTGGAACTCTGCTTATCTGCCAGCCAGAGCTGGCATGTGATGAAATGAACAAGGAGCAAATAGGTGATGTAGAAATTTGCAAGCTGCCCAGTATTTCAAGAGCTAGTTTATTTAGGAACTCACAGATTTGATTTTAACTTCATATTGCACACAGTCAAATAGTCATATTTTCTACCGGTAAATGGATTTTCTTAATTACATTGTATCCTATATCTGTTTTATCTCCTTGCTATAAAATGTGAGCTCCTTGAGGGCAGAGAGTATATTTTATTCATCTTTTGCATCCCTGGTGCAGTACTGGAATGCAGTAGACACTTGGGTGTTGAATGAGTAATTCAGATGATAAAGTTACAAATACCAATATTTTGTAGTGCTCTGGGAAGAGCATGGATTTCTGCAGAGACTTCTGGGTGCTCAGTCACCTGGACAAATTTGAGATCCACTATTTTAGTCCCTCCTATTTAATGTCCATATCTTATTTCAGAGCTGAAGGGAGCAGTAAAATCCAGGCCCGAATGGAACAGCAGCCCTCTCGTCCCCCACAGCCATCACAGCCACCACCGCCGCCACCACCACCACCACCACCACCACCACCTCCACCACCTCCTCCTCCACCGCCTATGCCATTCAGAGCTCCAACGAAGCCCCCTGTTGGACTCAAAACTTCTCCTTTGAAAGATAACCCCTCACCTGAACCTCAGCTGGATGACATCAAAAGAGGTAGAGAGCATTTTCTGGAGCCATGATAGCAACTTGGAGTAGGGTGTTGATGTTCTTGTGGAGGTCACAAGGCTGCTGTATTGACATGGCAGTATGGGCATTCACTGCCATCGAAAAACCTGCAAAAACTTGCTGTTACAGAAGTGGTGAGGATGGGAGCTCCTACCACTTACCTCATTTGACAAGTGTGAGTCCAAAAATAGTTTCTTGAGTTGTGGCTATCTTGGCAGCATTCTTCATAGGGGCCCAGGATTTAAATAAGCATGACTGCCATCTAAAGCTCCATGACACACCTTTAAGGCTTTGGAGAAAGAAAAGATTCTAGGTGTTGGGGGGTGAAAACCAAGTGTAGCAATATTTCTAACTCTAAATTAGTGTAGTGTCTAGGTTAGAAGAATACTTAAAGTATCATAACCAAATGCTTGTGCTGACACAAAGTGCATAAATATGAAAGAGGCCATGAGGACCAGTGGAAATGGATACTGGCCTAGAAAGACTGGGAGGTCTAGTTTAGCTCTCTCTATTGCATACCCAAGACAAAGAAGCTTACCTTGGCTGTCTCCCCCATACAGTGGATGGTTTTAGACCTCCAGACTCTTGGAATTTATGAGACAAACTATTATATTTCATATTTATAAGTTTTATGAAACAAAATTAAGTCCATGATAATAGTAGACAGGGAAAAATAAAGTTGTTTTGGACCAAAAAAACCAAAAAAAATAGAGTTGCCTTGGGAAGTTTGCCTTTTCCACTCTATATAAATGTTGCCTTTTAGCAAATGGAACCACTCTCTGTGCTGTGCACACTTGTTAAGCCTCTTGATTTCTTTTTTCTTCATATATATTGGAATGCTATTATGGAAGTTCCCACTTTAGTTGAATAGGAATTAGACCGTCAGTAGTTAGTTGTTGCCAGTTATGCTTAAAGGAGTCATAGCCATTTAAAGCCACATGGTATGTTTGGACTGGAAAATCTGGCATCTTTCCTGATGTGTCCTATGATATATCCTTAATATATTCAATGACGTTGAATTTGTTAGATAAAACATGGTTTTCCTTCCCTACAGTAAATGCAGTACCTGATAGGCATGGCTGTCAGTCAAATATGTAAAGAGTGGAATGTTGTTCCACAATTTTTCTTCAATTGCTATGGTTCTTCCTGCAAGCCTCTGTTTATTTGTGGGACATGAGAATTGGAAAGGACCTCAGAGGCTGTCTGGCCTTCGCTTTCCCAGAGTGGCTTGGAAAATTCATTGACTTCCACCTGGGTCTCACTGCTAGTTAGAGGTCGATCCAAAACAAGCACTCTGACCTTCCAACTCCTAGTCAAATGTTTTTCAGCCCCTTAGCATAATATATCTTATTTAAGGTTTTATTCCATAATTCATAATCTTTTTTTTTTCTTTTTAGTAGATTAAGGCAAAGTAGACTTAATTCATTTCTTGCACAGAACAGTCATCCTGAAAGTCTTATTTTTTTCTGTTTCTTAGTTTGGGTGAATTTAATGTTTCCATTATCTCTCTGGAAACAGGTTGGGTTTTTTGCTTGTTGGTTTTGGTAATTTCGTTTGTACATTTTTTAAGGAATTGAGAAGCAGGAGTTTGCTTTAAATTTTTCCTTATTGTAGTTGGTTTTGCCGATTTGCTATTTGCAGACGTTTCAGTGCTCTCCCTTGGGAATGGTTGCTGTGCTGACCATGTCATCATTTTATTCCAGAGCTGAGGGCCGAAGTTGACATCATTGAACAGATGAGCAGCAGCAGTGGGAGCAGCTCCTCAGACTCGGAGAGCTCCTCGGGAAGTGACGACGACAGCTCCAGCAGTGGAGGCGAGGACAACGGCCCTTCCTCTCCTCCACAGCCTTCCCACCAGCAGCCCTACAACAGCAGGCCTGCCATACCCAATGGAACCAGCCGGCCACAAGGAAGCAACCAGCTCATCAACACCCTCAGTAAGTGTGTTGTGCCTTATGGCTGACAGAGGGCTGTAGATGCAGCTTCTACTTATCGTATACCAGACTCTATAAACCTGAAGACATAAGGCACAGGAAAAGATCGTGCAAAGGTAATTTGGAGCAGAAAGGATTGAGTTACCAAACAGTAAAAAAGAGAAGCACAAGACAAAAAATCTGTTTTTTCTCTTTCCCGTTCCCCATTGGCACAAATTGGGTTTTGTGAATTCTAGAAAATGCTGAACAGGTAGGCTCTTTGTTTTTGCATATACCTTGCTGTGCTCTGCCTGCAGGTCTTTTATAAAAAAGAACCCACTCTTTCCAGAGAACATGATGTCCCACAGCCCACAGGCTTGGGAACCTATGCCATTGGGATATATTCGGAGACCTTCTAGCCTCTGGCAAGAGGGAAAGGAAGGGGTATTATAAATGTCTGGGTAGCTTTTAATGCAGTTGATACCAAAGTAAAATGGTAAAACAAAAACAAAAATTTCTATATTTTGGAGGTAGGGAGAGGGCTGATTCTCTATGATTTTCTCTTTCTGGAACCTTGATAAATGCTCTCCCCTGGTGCTCCTTCCTTTGAGGAAGTCAGAAGGTCTGGTGGCAACAGTGAGGAAGCTAACCTAGTTAACTCAACTACTGTGGACCAGACAAAGATAATCTCTACCTTGGAACTATGGACATTTTGAGCTGCATAAATCTTTGTCGTGGGAGGCTGCCTCATGCATTGTAGAATGTTTAAGAGCATCCCTGACCTCTGTCCACTAGATGCTAGTATCAATCCTCTTTCCACTGTGACAACCAAAAACTCTGAAACGCTGCCAGAATGTGCCCTGTCTTCAATATAGGATGAATTATGTGAAGAAAATCTGGCATGACACAGGTAGGTAGGTAGAAAAAGAAAGACCTCAGGGTTGGACCCCCTTGAAAGGGTCTCAGGGGCCCCAGAGTTCTCAGAACAGAGTTTGAGAAGAACTGGCCTAGGGGTTAGCAATCAGAAATACAGAAATTTACTTTTGTTTTTTAATCTAAGTGGTATCAGCTGGGGTTCAGTTATATCTATACCTTTTATATTAGATTGAAATGTTGAATACTTCATTTCTAAATTCTGCGCACTAAACAAGAATGAGGCTTTATAAAACTCTTTAGTTCAGATTTGAGGTTTAAAATATTGTGAATATCCAAGAGAGGTATACCAGAGGGGATATTGGATTAGCACATTACTCATTAAAACAGTATTCAGCTTTCTTTATGGGAAGCCTACCTGGGTGTTTTCATAGCTTTTATTTTATTTTATTATTTTATTTTATTTTTGGCGGCTGGCCAGTATGGGAGTATCCAAACCCTTGCCCTTGGTGTTACAGGACCCTCTCAGCTTTTATAAAGTAACTTAACGCGAACAAGTCTTCCAAATGGTGAATCAGTTATTTGTGAATATTTTTTTGCTGTTAACCCATTTAAAAGCTTTCTAGCCTATTCCTCATTTTTTCTACTCTAATAAGCAGTATTGCTGTGCTTTGCAGATACCAGAAATAGCATTTCTTTTAAAAAAATGTTGACTGCACCAGTTTTTTTCCTTCACTGAGCCAAATTGAGTTCTCTCCCTAATTAAGTTGAATTAACAAGGTTTTACTGTAGTGTAAGAGCCAAGGCAGTCAAAGAATTGTGAGAAATTCTATGCTTTTGGTTTGATTCTGTTTTCTTTTTGTAGGAAATGACTTGCAGTTGAGTGAGTCTGGCAGTGACAGTGATGACTAGTGCTGGATCTTTCGAAATCTACTTTTTGGTGCACAAACATGCTGCAAGACCAGACTACTTTAACATTGAGTCCCTTGCCAAGAGGATCAATGACTGTAGTGGGAGTTTGAGGCGCTGGAACACTCAGATATTCAAGTCTTTAACTTAGTGGTGATGGGTGATTTTCTCATGTAACTTTTGCACAATCTCATGTTTCAGAGTTTAAGTAGAGCTATAGAAAAACTAACAAAATTACATTTCTATTTGGTTAACATTGTTAATGAAAAATGTGCCCTGGTCTAGGTTACTCAAAGGCCATGTCTTCACCAGACCAGTGACTAGATTTTTAAACCTCAGCAGCCATCAGTTTGGCCAAGCAGTCTGCACCAGTGAAATGAAAGTCTTTCAGGGGTAGGAGAGAGAGGGAAACCTCAAACTGCATCATAGAAATATGTTAAAACCACTTTAAATTGTTGACACAAAGTGGTTAGGAAGTTTTGTCTGACCCAGTCTGACAAGCCTGTGTAGAAATGGACTTCAAGATGGAGTTCATGAGTGTCAGCTGGGTGGGACACTAGATTTCTGCTAGCCCAACCCCCTCATTTACAAACTAGGAAAGGGAAGCACACATCTGGTTTGTGGCCAGTCTCCTGCCTCCAGTCCAAGTTTCTTCCCCCTGCTTCCTCCCTTGAATCTCATTTATTAGAATCAGAGATTCTATACATGGGGCTTTTAGACATACATTGGAACTTTTATTGGATTCCAGAAGACATGCTGGGTACTTCTAGCTTCAGTTCAGACCCAGACAGTCCCTAAATATATGAGGCTAAATGAGATGATTAAGCCAGCAGCCACTGTGCTGTTACATGTGACTCAATTAAATTGGGGCTTTTAGTTCCATGTGGATCCATACTAAGTATTCCTCATTCAGTGGATTTTAGCAGGGAAGGTAGGAATGAAAGAGAGGTGTAGTGAAGAAACCTCTCAGAGCAAATGAACCAGCAGTAAGTTTCCAAAAACCAGAATCTAGATAGGAGTTCTACAATATGAAATGAGCACATTCTTTGATAAGGTATCTCTGTTTATGCTTTTGTACCACTGTTTGTGCCTGACTTCCAGACTGATATGTATTTTTATATACAACTAGAAGAAAGTCACAAGATTGCCTTCTACAGTGTACAGTTTCCAAATGAATTTGTTGTTGCAGGAAATGGTCATTAGTAAATGTTCCATATTGAGTGAATGTGTGATAAATTGTCCCATAATTAGCTTGGAGTAGCCCATTTCTGTGGTTTGAATGAACATGTCCTGAGAAATTTTTATCTACTTTGGTTCAGTGGGCATCAAGACGTTAATAATGATTTTCCTTCTTTGGGTCCCTCCACTCATATGGCCTCTCCCTCCCCAGCTAGTGGAGGCAAGCAGTCTGGACCTAGAAAGAAAATAGATGATTCATATTGAGGGCTTTGGTTAGAGTTGCACCTTATAGAGTTGACTGTTTCATCCACATAGTGACCCCAGTGAGCTGGAGATGTGGGCAAGGAGCCATTGCCCAGCAGTATGCTCACACCACTCTAAGTGTGGGCAGTAGGTGTACGTTAGTGCCCTGTGGTGGGTTCTCCGCCCATCATGAGGTTTCAGTGGATTTAGTGGCAGGTAGGAACTTATTTATAGTGAATTGACAATTGCTTTATAATTCCTTGGTAATGACAGCTCAGGGAAGGTGAAGGTCATGATTGGGAGACTTGAATTGTTACTGGATTTGGGAATTGTTTCACTGCTCTTAACTTGCTCAAAATGGGGCAGGTTCCAGGAACTTGAACTAAAAATATCTGTTTAAGCCTCTCTTTCTCTTTTTTTCTCCAAAAGCCTTGATTTATATAGACGGAACTGTGGTTTTTGGCATGTTGGGTCAAGATGTTTGTTTCTATAGGAAATACTTGCGTGTGTCACTAGGCTTGGTGAGTGAAGTTTTCTGAGCCTCAGACCCTCTCCCCTGTCATTTATCCTACCTGATGCTGCACAGTTATTCTCTAGCACAGCTCCAATTTTATTCTCTGCACAAAGCCTTTGGTGGTCCTTTCCCTCTGCCCCCCAGCTTTAACCACCAAAGTAAAGAATCTTTTCTTTTTGGAAGTCAAGAATTCGGCCTCACAGACAACTTTTTACAAGTACCTTTGTGCCAGCCAAACTAAACTGGACGTGTCCTTTCTGCCCCTGTGCCTTCTCTCAGTCTTTCCTCCTCTCCCCCGTCAAACCTCGCTCCAAAGGCTCCGTAGGTGTCAGCTTCACAGACTTCTCTCTTCATTTCAACCCACATGGAGTGCCCTATGTGTACATTCCGACCTTTCTCTTGCTTGAACTCTGGTTGGTATGTGCTCCTTAAAAGCAGGGATTGTCATTCTCATCTCTATTCCCTGGGGCGTTCACAGGAATAGACACTCACATGCTTACAGCCTGGTGGGCGAGGAGGCAGAGAAAACTAACCAGTGAAGTACACAGGATGGACATAGGAAAAACATTCCAGGCATTTGGAGAAAGCAGAAAATACCCATGCTGATTTTCATGATTTTGAAGTCTTTACCTGAATTGTTAAAATGGCCTTTTCTTTCCTCTATCCAGTGTCTACTGTGGGTCATTTAGGTGAGGTGAAAAAACAGGTCTGAAGTGTCTGAAGAGCCATGGCAAGCCTTAGTAAAGATGTGAGTTAGGAAAACTTAATATAAATAAACTAGAGATTTGTAATAATGCCACTTATTAACTATTTTATTTTTTTCCCATGTGTGGTGTTAGTATGTGTGTGCTTCAGTGGTGGGAAAACTTGAAAATTCCAAAATCCTTACTTCCCTATTTGAGGCTGGTTCAGCAGGGGGGGGGGGGGGGGGGGGGG